GCCTGTCCACCCTCTACCGCTGCGCGCTCACGTGTCCTGGACCCTCCATCCTCTTCGTGCGCGATTTTGAGGGCAATGTACGCTTTCCCTGGGCGTGAAAGTGCACAAACACTGGTTGTGTGTGTGTGTGTGCGCGTGTGTGTGCGCGCGCGCGCGCGTGTGTGTGTGTGTGTGTGAGAGAGTGAGTGTGTGAGAGTGAGTGTGTGTGGGTACGCGTTCGCATGTTTATGTTGATGTTCGCATGTTTTATGTGCATGTTCGCATGGTTTATATGTATGTTCGCGTATGAATGCTTGTGTGGATGATGAAAGGGTGTTCTCACTTTCCCCCTCGCCATTTAGGTATTTGGCGCGTTTGTGACGGACACGTGGGAGCCGTCCAAGTCCTACTTCGGGGGCGGCACATCGTTCCTTTTCAAGGTGTGTGGGCTGGTGAGAAAGCCGGCAGGGGAGGGGGAGCTAGATGCAGAGCAGAGCGCATGCGTGTTCCAATGGTTGCCACAAAACACGGCACACCCCAGCCCAACACAGCACAGTACAGCTTTCGACTCACGCGGTGCACATGTTTATGTATGGTGGCGTGTTGTTGAAGATGTATCCCGAATTTAAAGTGTTCAACTGGACCGGAGACAACACCTATGTGCAGCTCGCCAGCAAAGACTCTCTCATCGTTGGCGGCGGCGGGTGCGTGTGTGTGCATGTGAACATGTGTTTACGCGTGTATGAATGTGTATGTATGTGTGTGATTGTGTGTGTGATTGTGTATGTGTGTGTACGCGTGTGTATGTGTGCCATAGCATTGCTGCGGAAGGTTTTATGTTGATGTTCGCATGTTTTATGTGGATGTTCGCATGTTTATGTGCATGTTCGTATGGTTTACGTGCATGTTCGCATGGTTTATGTGGAAGTTCGCGTATGGATGCTTGTGTGGATGATGAAAGGGTGTTCTCACTTTCCGCCTCGCCATGTAGGTATTTGGCGCGTTTGTGACGGACACGTGGGAGCCGTCCAAGTCCTACTTCGGGGGCGGCACATCGTTCCTTTTCAAGGTGTGTGGGCTGGTGAGAAAGCCGGCAGGGGAGGGGGAGCTAGATGCAGAGCAGAGCGCATGCGTGTTCCAATGGTTGCCACAAAACACGGCACACCCCAGCCCAACACAGCACAGTACAGCTTTCGACTCACGCGGTGCACATGTTTATGTATGGTGGCGTGTTGTTGAAGATGTATCCCGAATTTAAAGTGTTCAACTGGACCGGAGACAACACCTATGTGCAGCTCGCCAGCAAAGACTCTCTCATCGTTGGCGGCGGCGGGTGCGTGTGTGTGCATGTGAACATGTGTTTACGCGTGTATGAATGTGTATGTATGTGTGTGATTGTGTGTGTGATTGTGTATGTGTGTGTACGCGTGTGTATGTGTGTGTATGTATGTGTGTATACATGTGTGTGTTTCGTGGAGGAGGTACAATGTGCGTGAGCTTTCTGCCACCTGGTCTGATGCAACTTTAGTCTTTCTTCAGTCTTCCTTGAGTCTTCTACTCGCTCGTTCTCGCTTGCCCTTTCATCGTTTTGTTGCCGGTGCATATGCCTCCTGTACCCGTGCTCACATCACCACCTACCGCCACCGCCACCACCATCACCACGACGACGACAATCATGGTTGCTGCTCTGTCGTCAGGAACGGATATGGGCTGTGGCTTGAGGAGACGTTTACGGACGGCAGCAGCCAGGAATGCACCACATTTGCAAACGAACAACTCTCCTCACAGTCGCGCTTCAAAGTCCACGAAGTGGAGCTCTGGGGCTTTATCCGAGCGTTCTAAAGTTGTGTAAGGAGGGCGTGTAAGTGTAACAACGTAACAAGTGTGTGTGTGTGTGTGTGTGTGTGTGTGTGTGAACAGCGGTTCCTAAATGTGTGGTGCGACGTGCTGTGTGAGATGCGCGTTGCTGCGTTGTTGAATGGGTTGCTGTGCTGTTGTGTTCCGTCCACCATCCATAAACAACCGAACTTGCGTTGATGAGCATTGACCAACGATTCCCATGAATTTTCTTTGCTGACCAAACTCGCAACCGAAAAGTTGAAGGCTGTTGAGGTGGTTGCTCGGAAGCTGTTTGCTCCACCAATACACATCCATCCACACGACGGTGATCATCCATGCAAGCGAGCGCGTGCACACACACACACACATACATCACAGGCAAGCGTGCACACAGCCAGCCATGTCTCGGTTTCTGTTTCGGCGAAGCAAGCATGCACAGCAGGTCAAGAAGGCCGGGGGTGGGGAGGCTGCCCAGCCGTCCATCCGGGATGTCAACTACCAGCACCTCAAACAGTTTCGCGCAGAGCAAGGTGCGTTTGCGCAACAGAGGGTGTGTGCGCATGCCAAAGGTTTACATCCCCTTCTTTTTGCCTCTTCCTTGCTTGCAGGCACGGAGATGGTCTTGGGGCACCGCACTGCGCTGTGTTCTGACTCTTTGTTGCGCTCGTGTGGCTCATCCTTCCTTGCCATGGCTGATGCAGGAATGCGGGGTCAGACGGAGTATTTTGTGGACTGGGGAGAAGCTCGCCAACGCTCCGAGGCACAGGTTGGCTGGCTAAGTTGCTTGGTTGTTTGGTTGCTTGGTTTCTTGGTTGCTTGGTTGCTTGGTTGCTTGGTTGCTTGGTTGCTTGGTTGCTTGGTTGCTTGGTTGCGTACATGGGTGCCCCCCGCAGCATGTCTCTTCTTCCACTCACAGAACGCCAACTCACACTCACACACACACACACATTGTGTCTCTCTGTCTCCTTCTTTCGCACACAAATACTCAATCCCACTCACACACAGAGGGACGATTTCTTGCAAATGAGGGGACCGGATGGGTCCTGGCAGGATGTGCGTGTTGTGCTTCATTCCACACACCTCTCCATCCTCCGCCTCGCCACAGAACAACAGCAGGTACACTCGCTGCACCTGGACAGACAAGACAAGGGGACAGGGAACATGCACATACACATCACCATTCCCAACCACGGCTCAGCAAACCACAACGTGTGGATGCGTGAGTGCTTAACCTTGCATTACCTGCGCGTGTCATTTGTAGGATCATATTCAGCGCGCACACCGGCGACTGGAGAAGCCCCGTGAAGTGGTGATCCACAAGTCGCCTGGCGAGACGCTGGGCATGTCCATCAAAGGCGGGAAGGAGCATCGCTTGCCGATTCTCCTCAGTCAAATCAGGGAAGGCGGTCCCGTGGATTTCTCCAAGGCCTGCTTCGTTGGCGACGAGATCCTTGAAGTCAGTGTGTGTGTGTGTGTGTGTGCGTGCGTGTGCGTGCATGTGTGTGTGTGTGTGTGCGTGTGTGTACTTGGTGTGTGTATGTGTGTGTATGCTGTGTATATGGTGTGCGCATTGCAGCCGTGTGAATGGCAAGTGTGCGTGTGTGCAAGTACCGACTTTCTCACACATACGTTCTTGCGCTGCCTACCTGTTTCCGCTTTTCGTTCTGCGGCCCAGGTGAACGGGGTGTCCATCAGGCATGTCACACAGGATGAAGCCATTGACATCATCCAGGCAACATATCCACTCGTACGATTCGTGGCCGTGGCTCCACGCATGCATGCATGCCTGTTTGCCTGGCATGCCTACTTGCACTCTCTGGAGCTGCCTTGCTTTTCTGCTACTTTTGCCGGCCACTTCCTGTTACTCCTCCCCCCGCCCACATTTAACGTTGTCACACTCACGGGGTTGCTTCTTTTTGCCTTGCTTGCGTGGTTCTGTGATTACTGCTGGTTGCAGAGTGAAGTTCGCCTTGTGCTTCGCTTCTACCTCGCAGGTGTGTGGATGATGACTGCAGGCATAACAAAGAGCACTCGCGTGGCTTTTTTTTGTGTGTGTGCAACCACAAAACCGCCACTACACAGTACCTGCCTCCATCCAGACACCTTGCTCAAGCGCCATCAGCGACAATTCACTCACACACGTCTCCTCGTCTCTGTTGTGTCTTTGCGCCACACACGTGTATGTACACTGCCACTCACGAACCACACCATACAGCGCACCACCAGCTGGTGAGCGACTACTTGCGCGCACCGGACACATCCCCTGCTCTTTACCGCCAGCAGAAATGGCAGCAGGTGAGGCGCTGAATGTATATGGTTCTGGGTGTGCAAGCAGCTAAAGATTACTGTGTATGCATGTTGGACACCACCACTGCCTATGTACTCACACTTGTTCATTGCAACTGTTGATTTGCTTGCTGCGCATGTGCTGTACTGATCAGGTGATGGCCATCCCACTGGAATATTGCTCCGTCTCCTATTTTCAAGGACACACAGCACACCGAAGGTGCGCGCGTGTGTGCGGTGTTGTTGGACTTCACGTGTTTCGCATTCGCTGTGTGCGCTTGTGTGTGTGTGTGTGTGTGTGTGTATGTGTGTGTGTGTGTGTGTGTGTGTGTGTGTGTGTGTGTGTGTGTGTGTGTGTGTGTGTGTGTGTGTCCATCGCAATGCGCGTGTCATATTTTCAGCTGTCCTCCAAAAGGGGGTTCTTCTGTCACATGTGTTGCTCTTGACGCGTCTTCACCATTCATTGTTTCCGCTTGCAGGGAGCAAGAGTCGTTTCTCGTGCAAGCTGCGCTGGACGTGAACAAACGAGCTGTTCTCCGCCCACGTGAGTGACAGCAATTGAAATTCACCTCTCGTTTTGGGACGATGCCGTTACGGGGACTGTTCAGACTACAAACAAAGGGCACACTTCCTCTGTATCAATTACAAGGGCACTCTCACTCACACTCTCACTCACACACACTCACACACTCACACACTCACACACACACTCACACTGTGCTGCAGCGTTTGGACGGGTGGAGAAAATGCAGGAGTGGGTTCGCGCCATCCGCGCTGCTCGAGACAACCTCCCTTGCCAACAGGTTTGCAGCAGCCCTTGCTTTGTTCGCTTGTTGGCAACTTGCCTGAAAGTACGTTCTGACCCCTTGCTGCTTGCGCTTGCAAAAGCCGTCCTCACGCATCCATTGCTTGTCGTGCACGTTGTTGTTGTTGTTGTTGTTGTTGTTGTTGTTGTTGTTGTTGTTGTTGTTGTTGTTGTTGTTGTTGTTGTTGTTGTTGTTGTTGTTGTTGTTGTTGTTGTTGTTGTTGTTGTTGTTGTTGTTGTTGTTGTTGTTGTTGTTTGGCACTCTTTTCCAACTTTCTGCCGCTGTCAGATGGCCAAGGCAGATCCTCCACTTGACTTTACCGGCCGCGTCGTGCACATTGGCCGCGTGCACGAACGATTGACGTGCGTTTTGTGTGCGCGTGCGTGTGTGCGTGTGCGCGTGTGTGTGTTTGAAACATTGGCGTGTTCGCGGCTACCATTGCTGATCTGTCATCTTCTCCACCAGTTGCAGTAGTTCATACACCTCTCATCCTCACCATCCTCACCACCGCAACCACATGTTTCTGTTCTGTGTTGCTTCGCTGCGCTGCAGGGACGGGACGTGGCGTGACTTGTTTCTGGTGCTGACAGATCACGACATTGCGCTGCACACGTCACCACCGACACAGCCGTCTGATCTCGACCATCCGCGCTGGGGCGGTTTCCCGCTGCTGGCCACACGACTCGTCAAGGGCACGCGCAAACCGACGGCAGACGACCCGCTCGATGCCCGGGAGTTGGAGCAGGGGTGCTTCATGTTGAAGGTGTGCGGTGGGCTGTCGTTCTACCTCAGCGCGGGCTCGCCAGAGATGGCGCTGCGTCTGCGCGTCATGATTGAGAAGCGAACTGATGCAGCTGTGCGGACAGCTGGTGCCATCACGTACTCGGCCCGCCACGAATGGGACGTTGCTCTCACCGTCAACTGGCAGACGGGTCTCTGGCTCAACAACGACCTGCCTGGCGACGTATGTGTGTGTGTGTGTGCGTGCGTATGTGTGTGCATGTGCGTATGTGTGTGCGTCTGTGTGTGTGCATGTGTGTGCGTGTGTGTGTGTGATTCATGCTTGCGTTCGTGCTTGCACTTCCACAGTCGTTTCTCATTACGAACTCACACAGTCACACACACACACATGCACACACGACCTCATACGCAACACACGCACACATGCACACACGCAGAAATCACTGATTTGGCACCATCCATTTGCGCATCTGCGCACTGTGGAAGTGCGCAACGCAAACACGCTTCGCTTCCGCTTTGCAGAAACCACTGCTGTGAGTCCAAACCTCATTGTTCTTGCAAACTCCGCCTACCCTCATGCCAGTCTCCATTCCCTCCCTTCGTTTCATTCTTTGCGAGTTCTGACCGCCTCACCGCCACATCACCACACCCTTTCCACTCACACCACTCTCTGCAAACAGGCTATCCTTGTGGACAACCCGGAGTTGGTCAAGTTTGTCATCACCACGTTTATGGCATGTCACCTTCGCTCTCGTGAAGAGACGCAAGTCCTCAGCGTCGCTTAAGACACAGCACAGCGTGCATCCTTTCTTACTGACTGGAGAAGGACTGACCTTACGTTTGCCCGTTTCACGTTGCTGTCTTGTTGACGGCTGTCATTCGGGTTCCTGCTGTCACCACTTCTTCCTTCTTCTCTCTTGTGTTACATACTTTCTCTCCCTCTCTTTCTCTCTCTCTCTCTCTCTCTCTCTCTCTCTCTCTCTCTCTCTCTCTCTCTCCCTCCCTCCCTCCCTCCCTCGTGTTGGTTGCTGCCTTGTTTGATTAGATCCTTGCGACAACACGCGCGCTCCTCTTCGCCTCTTGTCGCTTGCTTGCCTGCAGGCAAGTTCACCCCGGCCAAGTGCTGCTGTTGGTAAAATCGCAGTCGTGTTTGGTAAAATCCCCTTTTTGTGGCAAATTAGTTACAACAACGTGCGCGGCAATCAACGAACAACAACGTGCATGCCACCAGTTGTTACCACAAAGCACACCGAGCAGTTGCGGTTACGAGCCGGCCGGATCACCCTGCCAACAGAGGGATAACACAACACAACACAGCATAGTCAAACGACGCGCGCCACATCGTTGGGGAGTGCAGTTGAATTGCAGCGGGACCGCGCATGCAGGCCATTTCCACCTGGACCCGTGCGTGTGCATCTGCGTGTGCGTTTGCAGGTCCTCGATTCCGCGCTGTGATCCCGCTCAAGCGGCTGCCGAAGACACGCGCCCTCATCGACGCTCCACTGCACTCATTATCATCAACTACTGCAAGTCGTCCAAGTTCCACCTTCACCATGAGCGCCGTCTCCTATCTTCAGATTGTCGCTGGGTCCTGTGACACTGGACCCTCTGCTTTTATCTTCACTGATGATCGAAGGTGTGTGTGTGTGTGTGTGTGTGCGTGTGTGCGTGTGTGTGTGTGTGTGTGTGTGTGTGTGTGTGTGTGTGTGTGTGTGTGTGTGTGTGTGTGTGTGTGTGATATGATTCGTGAGCGAGTGTGTACCTGTGTGTGTGTACCTGTGTGTGGTTTGGGAACGCATCTGTCTGTCTGTCTGTCTGTCTCTCTCTCTCTCTCTCTCTCTCTCTCTCT